ACTGGGCAGTAACTCAGGTGGGCGCGGGAGCTACTCTGCAGGCCTCTGTGTGTTATTCCAGCCCAGGGAACTTCATGGAGGGGCAGAGAAAATGGGCTGACCTTGTGTCACATTCACAACCCGCTGAAAGGCTGCACCTGACAGCTGCCATTTATTCCTCTCTGAGCTTCCTCGAGAGAATGTGCATAGGCATTTGACAAAGGAAGGCTAGACCAGAAATGGGATATCAAACATGACATTCTAAGAGCTTTCAGAAGTGGTATCCCCCCGCTTTTACCTTGAATTTTGAAAAAGAAATTCTATTACTTCTGGTTCAAAAAGTTATTTATAAAATGTAACCCCCCCACCCCACCCCCAGCTAGTCATCTCTAAACTTATTCCCACAATGTCGAGATGCACTATTTTTGATGTTCCCAAGTCTGGTAGCGACACCACATGTGTGAGCTGACATGCACTGCATCTGCTGCAGCCTTGGAGAGCTAAGTCTGGAAGCTCCACAGAGCTTTCCTCAGCTCTGATTCCAGGGAGAACCTTTTCTAGTTTCCAAAAGAAATTCTGGAATCACAGTGACACAGAGGTGTAAACTCCCATTCGCTGCAGGGAGGTGTTCACTCTGCAGCCTAATGACCTTTATACGTAAATGGCAACAGTGTGAACCTTTTCCTTGAGTCTGAAACATCTCACTTTCCTGGGGTAGGTCCCTGGAGCTACTTTTAGAAGGTTCCACATTGTCTAAAGATGTCTTCCAAAGGAGCAAGAATGTCCATCTTGCTTGAATATAAACATGGCACCAAGGCTTTGGTCCAAGTAGAAGTGGATTCTTTGAAAGAGAATTAAAGTTTGCTGTAAGTAAGAATCAAAATTTTAAAAAGTGAATTAGGGATGATTCCCAGGGAAAGAGAGGAGAATACAAAGTTTATTTAAGCCAGAGGTTTTTGAAGTAGAGAGGCAATTAGCCTAAGTTTCTCATATAATCTAGTACTTACTCAAATGCTGGGCACGACCCGAGAATGGACGCATGGCTGTCAGCAAGATGGGGAAATCCCCTTGCAGTTTAATGGAAGGATTTTAGTTTTTATTTCTATTTTATGGCAGAAATAAAGATGTCTTAGAATAATAGATAAAAAATGCGCCTGTGGTCTGACAATCATATTTGCAGTCAAACTCAAAACAATAGTTTCCCATTTGCTCTTTCCCATGGTTGGCATAAATGTCTAACATGTTAGAGTAACGCTGCTGAGAAGAAGACACGTGGAGAGAGTTAGTTCGTTGCGATGTGTCTTGACATTCCTCCTGTCAGACCCCGTCATTCCAGAACAAAGTCAGACATCAACACAGGTCTCCTGGCCCCAGTGGGTACCAAGAGCTGGCAGTGGGGTGGTCTGCCCGAGACGGGCCATTAGAGGAGGCATCATCCATAGAGAGTTTAAGAACAAGAATAAAGTGAGCTGCTTTATATTATTACCATGCCCTGTGATTCTGAACATCTTCAGGGTTCAAACTCCTCTCCCTGAAGAGGCTGTCAGCTCCCTCTGTCCTGTCCCCACCTTGATATGCCATTGTCTGCCGGCCGAAATGGGGCAGATGTAGAATTAGGCGCTGGCTTCAGTGTATGAGAGGCTATAAAACATTCTAAAATGACTCGCTCTAAAATGACATGAGGTGTAGGGTAAGGACGTTCCTGTGGATTTTGTCTAACACTGTCACCAAGTTGCTGTGAGATGATAACGGAGCCCATGCCTACAGAGCTCTTGCTGTGCACCAGGCAGTGGCTGGGACCCAGACACCACCCTCCCCTCGGGGAGCTCCCAGTCTAGTGGAGGCAAAACTCCCACCAACCAGTGGGATGGTGCACCTGTGTCTAGTCTAAGAGAGGGCAAAGCGGAGGTATTTGACTTGGTAGAGAGGTTCTGGAAGACCTTTTAGGAAGTGTCTAGTTGTTCTTCTAAGATGATTTGCTACACCAAAAACTAAAAATAGATTTTTTTTGCCCACAAGTAACTAGTCAAGTCATTTCTTGAATCTTTAGTGAGATCCACCTCAGGAGACACAGCCTTTATCCCCCTAGGGTTCCATTGCGCCTGGGATGCCGTTAGAGAATGTTCTGCCAGCTCTGCCAAGAGCCTCCTCTTGATACCAGTAGGCACTCTCCTTAGATCAGTGGCTTTCAGCCCCATCTGAACATTACTATCACCTGAGAGCTTTTCTTAAAAAACCCACTCAGGCCCCACCCTAGACCAATTAAATCAGGACATTGGAAAGATAAGGGGAGAAAAGGAAGGTCAGGTACCAGTATGTTAGAAAAACAATCAGCCCAGGTGATTGTAATATGTAGCCAGAATAGCGAACTACTGCCTTACGTGAATGCGATTATCTTAATTTTGTCCAGTGAGAATAATTGAAACTTTCACCTTAAAAGACTTCAGAATGCAGAGGGAGCCGCTTTGGTGACAGGTGTGTGAGTGCCTGTGTGTACACCCAGGAGGAGGGGGATCGAGCTGGGTCTCCTTGCAATTGTGTGCTTGCCATCTCTGGCATGTGGTGGAAATGCAGCAGATGGTTGGAGGGTAGAGTTTCTTGGACTCTGGAATCTGGTTGATTGTCAGAGGCAGACCGCTCTCAGGGCATGGGCGTTTGCTGCAGAGGCAAATACATGCCTCAGTACAAGCAAGCTTCTGGCTTTCTCTCTCCACTTCCAGTCACCCCAGTTTCCCTCTCCTTTCTCTTACACTACTGCTTTATTTAACCTCCTAAATTATGAGGCTTTATGTGAAATCTATAGCCTCTTTGAGGAAGCATATTCAAGCCTTAGATTTTTTTTTGTCCTTTAAAAACTTAAAAAGCACTGTGAGCACCTTACATGTAAGTGGAATGAATGTATTTTTTTCCACTAATGTTGAAAATATCCCCAGGCATCTGGTGTGTATGAATGTGTATAGATAGTACATGCATAATAAACATATTCCACCTTATGAATATTTATACACAAGATACATATATATTGAACATAGACATACATATGTAAATAGTAGCCCTTGTAAACTATATGCAAAGTGTGTTTCCCAGCATATGCATTATAGTGCATCAGGAATGTAATAAACCTCCCATTAAGTTCAGCATATTTTGAGGTGGCGTTTTTTGCAGAGTTGTTTATGATAGGGTCTAGTTACAATCCTTGTATAGGTCCCCCCCCCCCCTTAATATTCGTTAAAAACCAGCTAAAAACAAGGCACTGGACATGGCAGAGTGAGAAAGGTAAAATAGGTGTCTCTGCTTTCAAAAGATCTGTACCTCACACAGTCGCTTAAAACTCTGTTATGAAGAATCTAACATCGTCCTGCCCATTTGTGTCTTACTGCTTTCTTACAACTGCCTTTTATTTACACTCTCCACTTTGAAACAGGTCCCACTGAAGACCATGTTAACTTAAACCCTCATGGAGCTGCAGACTAGCACTGGTGCAGTGAGAAGGAACACCAAGGGTTTCTCTGTCACATGTAGTACAATCTTTTAACTGTGTTTTTATTTTACTCTGATTTGGTGGTGGTGGTGGTAGGGTACAATAAAAAGGCACTAAATCCAAGAGATATTGATAAATCTCAAAATGAAACCAAAACAGAGCAATCTCTCCCTCTCACAAACTTCTTGAAACCCACGTATTCCTGCCTGTGACATTCCACTTCCAAACTGAATCCAGTTCCCACCCTGCCATAAGTAGCAGAAGCCTTTATTAAAAACAAGCTATACATTCTCCATTGTACCAAATACGGATCCCTTTCTAGAATCACAATCCCCAGGCCAGCCGAGGAGCTCTGAGTGATACTTGTCAGTGGGCAGATCTCACTCCATTAGGGGAGAAACAACCCGCAGCTCATTGTTTCCTCCGCCTCAATCCATACATCACAACAGGTAGCTCTCAGCTGTTCCCTTGGTGCCAGACATACATTTTATCTAAAGAGACAGCAGACAGAACTACCTGCTGCTTCCTGTGCGGCTCTCCCTGTGTTTCTCTCCTTTTTCCTACTTCACTTGGGCTTTTAAAAATCAGCTGGCAGGGAGCCAGGAGCTCATCATTTTAATGCAGTGCAAAATGGAATATGCATAATTATATGCAAGCCATATGTGAGGGAGACAGCTCAGCTGTGGATTTCAGGAGGCCAGGAAGGAGAGAGCAGTTAGGGCTAAGATGAGATGAGAGCAGAGCGGAGTGCAAGTGTCACCCAAATGAATGATTTAATGAGTGTGCTGCAGACACGCCTCCTTTCACCTACCTCTCCCTTCTCTCCAACTCCAAACCAGAAACCGATGGAGACTAGAAAGAGAAGACTGTATGCAAGCGGTATTGCTGATGGGTTCTGTTCATGTCTCCATTTATACTTCAGCTTTCTTAATTAACAGTGTAGATCAAAATAACCAGTAACTTTTAATGCAGCTTCTTAATTAAATCTATTTTTTTACTGCATTTGATTGAAGAATCATTGTTCTTACTAGATCATTGCTCCTTTCAGATTTTTATTTAAAAATCGAGAGGAATCAGTTTATCTCTAATAGTATTACAATGCAAACTATAACTATGCAAATTGCTTTTCTTATGGCCTTGCTATTAGAATTTTTTAAAGTGCATTATCTAGAGATTGCTTAAGCATGCCAAAAAGTTTAAACACGTATGTATGTCATACAATCGTAAATGTACAACCAAAGTCACTGAAAGACTGAAGTGGTGGTAATTTCCAACAAAAATTTTTATTTTGGTTTGATTAATATTTAAAACGTTAAATATTACACCACAATGAATTTGCGTGTTCAAACTAAACTATGTAAAGAAAAATAAATCCCAAATTTTGATATCTAAATGGCGTACTGCGTGTTTAAACAAACTTCTTAATAATGTTGTTATTTCTGGATTCCCGTTTGTTTAATTATCTGAGCTGTTATGCTTTTAGCTTTTTTTTCTTCCATTATTTGTAAGTCCCTAAATAGGCCATTATATTTCCCTTCAGGCTAGAGATGAAGATGGACATGCTGAAAATTTTCCCCAGCAGCACTATGCTAAGGAAACTCCAAGGCTTGCCTTCAAGAATAACTGCGAACTACTTGTAAGAATAATATACTTACAACAAGTCTAGAATGTTACTTTAGCACAGTGAAAACAGTTTTTGAAAGGGTTTGTTCATTATTACATAATTTATGAAGTATTATAGTTTTTCTGTATAGTTCTAAATGCTAATTCTGATATCACTGAATATTAATTATAAGATCTCAAGTTGTGTACACATCTTTTATATCTGATTATAGAGCTTGGATGGCCCTGTCTTTATTAGCTTGTTTTGTATAATAGTTTATAAGCAGCCGTTTGGAGAATGGCTAGTAAAGATAAAAATACAGAGAAATACAGTTGATACATGTAGCTTGGAAAAAAACAATCCCATCCCCACCCCTCCTCCTACTTCCTAATTGTACACTATTTTAGGAGACAACATGGTAATATTTTGTTCTGCGAGGAGGAGAGATCGCAGAGCTGACATGCAGTGCTCCCGTTAGAATTCAAGTGTTCCTACACTCTCTTGCCAAACTCAATCAGGCACTTTCGTCTCTCCTAAGTAGAAGTCAAAGCAGCGACAGGATGCGGGGATGTTTACAAGTCGTGAGAGAGAGGATATCAGCTGTGACAGGGACTCTGATCCAACGCAGGGTTAATTTGCTGTTCATTTTAGCATTTACAGCGAGACAAGCTGAAAAGCAAGCAGGAATGCCTATTATATTTCTATTAAATGAATCTGTTGGGACCTAATGTTCTTGATTAGCTTTTGAAAATGAGTACTCCGCGATGCATTTTCTGTTTACCTAAAGTAAACAGAGAATGAATTGTCATTTATTTAGAGATTCAAACACTGCTTTGGAAAATGAAGCTTTATGAGGGATCTAGCTATGTTGTCCCTAAATGTTCTTTTCTTTTCAATCGCATTAAAGCAAAACATTTGCTCCAACTCAGTGAAAACACTGAAAGACAATGAGGGGGCTCGGTGGTTGCATTTCGAGGTAGTCTCATTCCTGTTTGGTTTTTTGGCGGAACACAGTGAAGCTCTGCCAGGTCTCAGCATTAGGAAATCCCACATGTGACAGCGTTTGGGCTTAGCTCTGATACCAAGTATTCATTAAAAACAAAGTGTCCAAAGAGCAGGAGAAGAGAGAAAAATGCAGTTTTTACCCATTCTAGCGGCAGTGGTTAGACGTTGACGGCAAGGAACCCCTTTCCCAGCCCCGCAGCCTGCGGGGTCGCAGCAGCTCCGCTCGCTGTCCGCGAGCAGTCCACCAGCCAGCCCAGGCACATTCGCTGCTTGTAACTGCAGGTTTTCCCCCTGAAAATTGAACTCACCTTGTATTTTATCTCAGGGCTCTTAAGCTTCCGGGCCTGGGGGAAACCCTTTTCATTCGGTTCCGTTTTAATGTCTCACTCCATAGCTGTGGCTCTCCAGCAGGAGACCTTATGGGCCATTTAGGCTATATTTTGGGATCAAAATGCTTTTGGGAGTCACTACTTTTTGGGGAAATTGTTTTAAGTGATGCCATATTTCATTATTTTTCTGTTTACTAGGAAAATGGATGTGCTGGAGTCTTGGTTGTGGTCAGTTTATACTGGAGGAAGTAAAACGCACATGTGAACGTCTCCTCCAACTATCTTTAGAGAAAATATATATTTAGTCCTTGCTGTCCTTAAACACAAAACTGTGTCGGCAGTCATTTTCAGAGATTGGTACAATCTTAGCTCTTCTAAGCCACTGTTAGAAGTGTTTTATTTTGGTCAGCATATGATAAAGGAAAAAGGAAGATAAAGAGGAACAAAACATGTGAGCTTATTTCTCCAAGGAGAAATTTAATTTTTTCCAGCTGCAAGAGAAGCGATGGTGTTTGGCTGGTTATAAAGCCCTGAGAAGCTGTGCTTCTATATGAAAGAGACCTGTTCATTATTAAGAGAGAAGTAGGAAGTCCTTGGAGTTTTCTTAGTGCAGCTCAGAGCAAATTTTTAAAGAATCCATGAGAGAAGCTTGCAAGCTTGCTCCAGAGTGCTTTCTTAGCTGAAGGGTGGTTCTGCCATCTCGCATGGTTCTCTGCAGCAAGAGCCGTGGGGGGGTTTACAAAGTGGGGGAGCCCTGGGGGTGCTGGTGGTTCTTGGGAGAAAGCATTGAGGGCACAGGTTACTTCTAGGCTCCCGGGTGATCAGGAACTCATGGCTGGAAGGCTAACCTCTGGGCCACAGGTGTTGACAGACAGTGCCCTGGCCAGGTAGCCTCCAGCTTAATTACTGACTGTTGATTGTCTCTGTCGTTTACCCACACCTCCAGCCTCTGCTTCTTGGAAAAGGGAGGAATATTAAGGGACCTAAACAAAAGCAGAGTAAAATCAATGCCTGGAATACACAAGCATGTATCATCAGAAGGCACTGACCAAGAAAGCATTGGCTGATAGAAAAATCTGCTGTGCACCTGTAGATTTCCTATAGGGTATTGATTTTTCCATTTAAATCCCAAACTGTAATATGTGCCTTCATACTTAATGTCCAGCACAGATGACTGTTTAGTCCGGTGCCAAGGTTCTTTGGTTGGTGATTGTGCAGCAGCTCCCTGATGCTTTTTATGAATTTTGAAAATGCAAGGCTGTCAAGATGAATGACATGAGATAAAACTTGAGTACTATATGATATGTCACAATTCAGTGTGGCCCCATCTACTGCTTCATAGATAGGCGTTCACACACACACACACACACACACACACACACACACACACACACACCCCAGGATATTTTGCTAGCATAGGATATAAACTTATGACCAAGGCAAATAACTTTCAATAAAAGAAACTATAGGAAATTCACCTCACATTAACACCACAGCAATGCGACTTACGGGAGCCCAGAAGAGGGAATACTTAGAGCCAGGCCCGGGTGACTAGCTTTTGCCCCAAATTTCAACTCTGTTGCTGGTCCCTTTACCATTATTGCATCATTCTTTGGGGACTAGTAGGCCTTCTCATTTCCTCTATTAAAATGGTCATATTGATGGAGGGAGTTGGATTAAGAGCGGGAGAGGAGGACCTTAATCATATTATGAGCTCACACCTCGCCAGCCAGGACTTCCTCAGTTCCTGAAAGCCAGCTGGGAGTAAGACCTTGCAGAGTTACAGCACTGGCAGGGTTCTTGGAGGGAGAAGACCTGTAGCTAGAGGAAGAATGTTGAGAGAGTTTTAGGGACGGAACTGAAGGCAACTGAGCTTATTCCCCAAACGTTCTTAGGGCCGGTCCAGAGAGCATCACCGCATTCAGGAAGAAGGTCAAAGTATAGTCCAAGGTCAGCAGCAATGATGTAGTGTAATTGGGTTGGAAGGAAAGCAGGTTTGGGAAGTCTGAAAGGAGAAGTAAGAGAAAGGAAACTCAGCGGGGAAATCAGCCTGCTTCACTCAGCTCTGGATTCCCAGGTCATCCAGACCAAGCCCGACTCCCTTGGCTTTTCCCAAGGCTGTGGGAGATGGAGGTTTTGCAGAGGGAGTGGGAGGGAGCCCGCAGCTGGGAGGTGAAATAGAAATAGCATGGGGAAGAATTCTTCCCGGTCGCTTACAGTGCCAGCGCAGGGAAAAGGTGGAAACTTTCAGTTTGGCGGCCTTCTGAGATGACGGGGAGGAGAGAGGCCTAGGCAGTTCTGTGGGCCGATTTGTCCATCTCATTTCCCTGTGCAGGCAGACAGGTAGATGACAAGAACTGGACACTTTGGAACTGCTAATGCGGAACTGCTCTGTAGTGATACAGTGTTCAGTTAACAAGACATTATTGCGCATCTTCTGTGTATAAGGCACTATATCAGACAGTGCTTGTGGGGGGCGCAAAATAGAAAAAGACACAGTTCCTTCCCTGAAGGAGCTTATAATCCAGTAGGAAGACTAGTCATATTCAGTATTATAGTCATCAGGAAATTTAAAGTTAGAATTTTGCTCCAGCTAGACTTTAATTTATGCTACATCACTCTGGTGGTATATCATAAGGATCATGGGCACAAAGGCTTAAAATTTATGGTGAAACATCTGGTATCACATCACATTGGATCTGTGTTTCACCCCTTGGACCTCTCTGTGCTTCAGATCTGCATCTGCTAGATGTAATAATAAATGGTAGTAACCTCTGAGGATGTTGTAAGGATTGGAAGTGATGACATATTTAAAGTTCCTGGTACATAGTAACATTCAGCACACATTAGCTGCTATTACTGTGATTCCTCTTACTCTCATGATTGTTATCATTGCTCAGTGAGCTGTGCCCCAGGAGAGCACCAGCAAAGTTCTGGAGCACAAAGGAGGAAGAGATTACTTCCATATGCGGTAATTAGAGACTTACGGAAGGGGATGCCTTTGATCTGCGCCTTACATGGGTTGGGTTTGATAGTCGGAGTGGGGATATGAGGGAAGGGGGCATTCCAGGCAGAGGGAAATAGCAGGGGCAAAGTCAAGGAGGGGGGAAAGCACAGGCCAGGTGACCCACACCTCAGCTGGCATCTAAGTTGGCAAGAGGGTAGAGTACCTGAAGGATAAAGGGGTAAGCTGGCAGGCAGGCCCATTTGCAGAGGTCTCAGAAACTGACACCACCCTATCAAGTCTGGACATAAGTGGTTGTACTTCATGGAAATTCTTAGTACATGTGTGGATTGAAAGAAAATTATTATGAAAAATTTCCAACATACACAAAAGTAGAGTAGAGAGAGTCATATAGTGAACCCCATGTACCTGCCACCCAGTTTCAACAATGATCAGTTCTTAACTTCGCTTCATCTGTCCTTTAACCTTCTCCTTACCCACCCCACCCCCTTTTATTCTTCTGGAGCATTAGGAAGCAAATATATTTATTTGTTTATCCTTTTGTGAAAACTTTAGCACCCCACTTCTCTGGCTGGAAAGAATCCATTGGCACCAATTAAATGGGGAGTTGGAGCTTTGGGATGATGTACACATAAAACAAAGGAGTCTGGGTTACGCAGTGTGCTTTTCCCTCCCTGCTCAGCGCAGCCTTGTAAGGCTGGGACAACCAGATCCAGTTAAAAAAGCCCTTAAGG